ACAGCCCTGCAGAATTTTAGGCAGAATATCGAGTACTCTGTACTTGGTACTCTAAAGGAGTATGTTTCTATCAAGTAAAGGAATTACCTTACAAGTACTACTCAGGGCTTTTGCCAAGCAACTATACACATTCTTGACTCTCAACATTCACTGCTATGAGTTGGACAAAACCTAGCATCTACTGTTTTGCCCACCCTCTTTTTTTAAAATCAATTTCTTCAGCCCTCACTGCAGTTTCTTTATGGAACCACGAAACATCAGGAAAGATGACAATTATTTTGGTCATAAGCCATCTAATGAAAATCCCTGTACAAAAAAGCAAGAGAGTCCCCACACAGAATACTATACTTCATCACCATCTAATAAACTGTTAAACTGCATTTTGCTTTATTAAATGCAAGATTCACTCTAAGTGTTATTTCAGTGTGAAATTCCAGAACTGCAGGCTGTAGAATTCCATTTTTGCTCTGTACATTACTCCTAACAGTGTTTGTGTCTTCAAGGATCAAATGGCTACATCTCAGCTCCACTGAGATAACAAAAGATCCAAAAAATCATAGAGGTGCATCTGTAAACTTGACCTTTACTTCATTACACAAAGAAGCTACAACACAAGAACATTAAGCTTCCAAAGTCAAGTATTGGGAAGGGTTAACATTCAAGTCTCTACTTCAGTCTTGATTCAAATACCGTGTATATTTTGGCATGCTGCTGGTTGACATCTTGAATTAAGGCTTTACAGAGCCAGGAACGGAATATAGTTTTTAGGTTCCAATAAAGAACCTCACATGCAAAACAGTTCTTTCCACCGGCTGATCTGCTCAATTCAATCGAGTTATGGCAGGGGTCTTGCTGAGCACATTATAATAGAGACAGCTTGCACATACACCACTAGATTACATTAAAATTGCACATTTTATGGTGTCTATCATTTCTAAATTCCAACTTTGACTTACTAGGCAAAATTGGTTTTGCGGTTTGAGTGTGGATAATCAGATTCCCAAAGAACATATCAGAAATCCCATCTTGTGGAAGTGTATAACTCCACACACACAAAACACATGAACCTAAAGCCACCAGAAGCAAGGAAGAGCTCTAGAACACAGGTAAAATAAAAAACAGTCACAGACTGCTAAAAGTACGCAACATAAGCACAGCAGAAAGAAGTGATATACTGGTAAAAGCTGATATGATCAGTTTGCTACACAGCAGAGAATTCCTAACTTCTGTTTTTAGCTTTAGAGAGGATTACTGTCTAATGATTACAGGCAGATACAATAAGCATATATATGCACACAAATACATTCAGACTGAAAGAACGAACAGGTTTCCATATGTCATATGGAAGGCAAGATTCTACTCCAAGTTCACAGAAGTCTGTTTTGTCCACCTATATAGCACTGTAAACCACAAATAATGAGCAACAGCTTATACTTTTCTTCTGTATTAGACATACAAGGCACAACGGGAAAAACATACATACATATTATTCTGGAAATAAAATTGCAACTCAAGTACCTAGAGAAAAATAAATCTGTTAAAATCTGAAATTATAGCAAGCCGTAAAAGAGCAAAAAGTTAAAGGGTACATCTTTTATAGCCAATATAGAGTTGGGGAGAATACTTAACTTTTGAGGTCAGCTCCAGCTTTACAAACCATCACTGTGTCATAAACCACACTAAATTGGGTTTTAAATCTTTACAAATGGAGATCTAGAAGTAGCACACATTTGAAAGAAACTAGGCCTAGGAGAATATTTTAGTGATATTTCCAAAATAGAAACCTATCCAAACTTTTGGACATCTAAACAGCTTGGGAAATCTAACCTGTGGCCCATCAGTTCACTAACTACTTAGCTGATTTTCTTAAACAAAGGAAGTACTAACTATTGTAAGACATCTTCCATTTGATTTTTTATCTTTATATACATCCACCACATTTAATGTATTTACAGATTTTTCAAGTGCTGTTGGTCAAGTGCTGTTTGTCAGCACTTTAATGAATTTCAGTTTCTATTCAAATAAAGAAGTTATCATCTGGTAATAAATAAGTCATTCGCTATTCCCTGGTAAAATAACATAAAACAAAACTATTAAGTTGTTGTACAGATACAACTGTATTACGTTGTATCTGCTTAAGTAAGATAACATACAAATTTGTATATCCTTCTGCTTTGTAAAAGATTAGAGGCCATATCCATTATTAAACGTATTTTAATATGAGCAAGTAAGAATGTACTTTAGTTAATCTTTAGGAAAGTAAAATTATCAATTTAAGTCATATTTCAAAATTAGGAAGCTGTAAACTGCTGACTGAAAAGTGGGGTGTATTGATATCGTCAGTCCACTGATTATCCAGTGGGCATCTGTGAATAATTTATTACTTCAGAAAGCTATTGTATGCAATTCACAGAAATTCAAAAAATATTTTTTTAAAACTATAAAATAATCCTTTTAGCAAGAAGTTGGACCAGATGACCAGATGGGTTTCCCAGCCAACCAGCAACCTCTGAGCTTATGAAAATCTGAATCAAGTTTATTCTGCAATTCATCAGCTACATGTAAAAAAAAAAAAAAAAAAAAAAAAAAAAAAAACCACCACTCCATTTTTACATTCACATGTAAGTGTTTAAAAACATTCCCAAGGATGAAGACAACTTAATACGGGGAAATGCTGGCTTTAAAAGTAACTTAGCAGATTCTAAGAAGTTAAAAACTTTCTCCAATTAATAGTAATTGCAGTTACAACTGGAGAAGAAAGCAACAATTAAAATACAGCCATTAGAAAATTCGTAAGTAATTAAATTTGGGTCCTACCAACCGTTGTTTTAAAGAAGGACAACAGGAAGGAATTATTTAGATAGGAACAGAAATTCAAATTATACTCGCTTGATGCTAGACATGACTGCACAAATATGAAGCACTATTCAGAGGACAAAAGTACATAATATCTTCCTTCTGCTTTCAGAAACGCAGAATTATACTTGTTTCCTACAATAATATATGAAATATTTCCTATTTCATCAATAAAAGGAAACATGAGATATAGCAAGTGTTATTAATCATTCAGTGTCTTCAGTTCTGGATAACCTGAACTCAGATGGCTTCTTAAATACAGTTTGAAGCCCATAGGTAAGAATCATCTGGTTACTCTCCACGTATAAAATACACTAACAACTTCAAAATGATGCTTATCTAAAGAAGGGAGTTTAAAGGGGAGACTGAAGAGAACAGTGTGATGAGAACAGCAGCAAGACTACCCTGGTTAAGCTTTTTTAAAAAAAAAAAGTCACACGCCAATACTTTCACAGACTATTGACAACTGATGAAGAATTAAAATTTGTCATATTCAGTAAAATAAGGTATATTAATCCTCCTTTGCATATCAGAAAAGTTGCTAAACAGTTTAAAGCTGTAACAATAAAAAATAAAATGAAATCAAGCGTTGTGCTACTATGGAGACTGTAGAATCAATACCGCAAATACATACAAGAAGCCCTTTTATTAATCAAATTTACTCCCAGTAGACAAAGTGCTATCATTTTAATAACATACATTATTACATTTCAAGTGTTTAGCTTGCAAAATTAGTCCCGAAAGAGCAACCTGGATTCTTTCATTAAAACTACTACAGAACTCTGTTACTAGGAGTAGCAGAAAGCCAGAAAGAAATCCCATATGCAGGTTAAAAAAAAGTAAAATAGTGAATGTCTCTGAAGAGGATCAACCTAGTCATAAACCAGTCAAATCTGAGCAGTAATCAGACAGCAGAGCTTCACAACCTCATGTTTATTTTTTTCAGAAAGTATTTGTACTGATTTTTAAAGTCTGCTCTTAAATCAGTGTCAGGGAAAAAAACAAACAAATAAAAAAAGAAACCACACACACACACAATTTCTCACCTCTCTTTGACTTGAAGACTCTTCTTCTAGGATAGAAGAGTCACAATACTTTGTTTAGGCAGCCTAAATATTCTGACAAGGTCAGTAAATTGGCTACACTTTCTTCAAAATACCTGTCTCCTCATTATAACACAATAAACTGGTTTTATAAACTGTGCCCTTCAGTTAACAAGATCCAGATTAGCAGGTACGTATTCCCTCCAAGAAACAATCCCAAAAGTCAGACTGAAATGATCACTAATCATGTACTGCTCTGAAAACATCCTTTAAACCCACCAAACTTCCATGACACGAAAGAGCTTTTCGGGTAAGGCAGTCAGTTTGGCTAGCTGATAATAGAAAGAGTATAGCAAGTATTAATATCAGCTACTACAAGTAAGCTTACTCCTCACATTACATCAAGCAAAGTAATTATTACAGAAAGTAAAAGGAAGCTGCATTCTTTTCCCTGGCACAAAAAGCCTGCTATGTTCTCGTAACGAGGACAGAAGAAAAAGAATCCTAATGTAAACAACATTGTACAGCCAACTTTAACAATGGCAAGGCTAAGCAAAATCAAATCCCTAGGGGAATTTAGTTTAGTAGCTACACTATTATGAAAAAACAGAGTTCAAGACAGCTTGGTAGGAGTTTTTTAGTACCATCTCAAGCCAGGGTAGAGAAGTCATCTAAGAGGCAGCAGAGAATCACTTCTATGTTCTCAATTTTCTAAACTGTACAGTCTTTAAGGAGAGTCTTGATTTTATTGTTAACTTTTAAAACAGCACACATAATTTGATATTTTTGAGCAATACAGTAGAGCATGTCCAATTTGATCACAATTAATAAGATACAGCTCTGGTTAACAAAGACTGCCAGTATCAAATCCATAACACTACTACCTATAGATTTCATCACATTTCTTTGAATTCAACTCCCGTATCTGTCAATCTCCCAAGAGAAGACAAAGGAAATGCTTTGTCAATTTTATTGGGCAAGAACAAAGAAACAAGAAGTTGCTTAAATACGGTTACTCACTTTGACTTGTAACTTAAATCACACATACCAGACTCATTAACAAAATGTGGCAAGATTACTTCTGGTAGCTCAATTACTTACCTCCACTTGCTGATTCTTGCTCTTCTCCTTCAGGAAACGTAGCCTGGCTTGGTAAGCTATTCCTAGAACGAGTGACTGACTCTAAGTGTGAAGCCCTTCCCAACAGAGATAGCTCATCTAACACCTCTCCCTCTTTGGCCTCCAAATCAGATTTTGAAGTGGTTAATTGTTTTATGTTACCTGGTGCCATTAAGCTATTTGGGTCATTTAAGCAAGCCACAGTACCACTGTCCAGGCTTAATACTCTGGCACGATTCTTGGCACTGTTTGTGCTAGAAGTCCGACGTGTAGATCGTTTTTTGCTAATTCCTTCAGAGCCTAAGTGGGTTTTGTGAGCATTTTCAGCATCTGTGCCCCCACGTTCTTTAGTAATGTATTTGGTCTTTAGAGCACTGTACTTCCCCTCAGGTGATTGGCATGAATGGGAGGTGGTGCTGGAAGAGCTATCACTGCTGAACTGGTGAGCTGACTGCATACTTGATGTCCTGCTCAAGTCACTTTGATCACTGGAGTCCTCATCATGACAAAACACAGCACTGTGAGGTTTAGTACCAGATACGCCTCGGAAGGAAACATATTCCCTGTGCCGACTTGAGTCAAAACTACTAGCCCGCTTTTTTCCTGTCCGTCTCCGACTGGACTTGTGAGCAGAGGCTGTTCGATGTATTAAGCTAGAAGACTTTGGTCTAACATCTCCTTCTTTTTGTTTTCCACCTGTTTCTTTAGAAGTTCTTGAATCCACTAACACAGCTAGTTTCTCACTCTGCTCATCTCTCTGTTCAGCAGCCTTCCCAGGTGGCCTGTCAGCTTGCGTAGTCAATTCATTGGCATGTGGGTTCTTATTGGCCTCTTCAGAGGCAGAAGCACTAAGACCTTTCTGACTCTGCATCTCATCAGATGTATTAGAACCCTTTGTCTCTTGAACACCACTGTTTGTGCTCACTTCAACAGCAGTCCTTTCGCTACTAGTCCTTTTGTCAGTAGTACAACTACTGTCATCCTCCGAGTCAACACCACAGCTCTTTTTCTTGCTGTCGTTTTCTTCTTCTCTAGGAGACTCTTCCTCGTGCTCTGACAGCACACTCTCTATATGTGTTGAGCTAGTGTGTTCACTTTTATAGCTGCTGATGGTACTGTTAGTGTCACGATCAGTCCCACTGCAATAGCTTTCTGTTGAGCCACTACTTCGAGTACTCAGGCTTCTCAGACTGTCCACACTTTTGTCTGCTTTCAAGGATTTGCTCTTCCCACTCTTGGCCAATGGTTGGGGGCTGCTACTTTTCAGAATATCATCTAGTTGAAAAACTCCTGAAATGCAAGAGTTCTCAGCTAAGGACTCTTTGGATCCAGCAGGGGGCTTGGAAGCTTCTAACTCACTGACAGGATCTAGCCCTCGTCTTTGCTGATACAGAGGGAAGTCATTTAGCGAAGTATCTGGAAAAGCAACAGCAGAGCTAGAAGTCCTTGGTACACCTCGTGGTCTGTGATCCTTTCTATAGGAGTGAGAATGCAAAGTTACAAGTGAAGCTACTTCTGTGTCACACGCACTAGGCTTAGACTGGTCCACAAGCTGGTTGTTCGAGAGGCACACTTTGTCACTGCTGTCTCTTGGCAAATCCTGTCCAGAGGATAACGAGGGTTGGATGGAGACAAATGAGTCATTGGACACCAAACGAAAAAGCTTCTGATCAGCTGCCAAATCTGTTTTAGAATGGAAAATATTTTAAATGTTCGAGTTTTGCAATTAGCTTTACAACTGCTTGTCTATATCAGAAAGTAAATTTTAAAAGTGATAAATCCATCTGAAAGTACTATGCATTCGTTACCATTAAAAAGAGATTTTCTAGGATTTAAGCAAACTTGAGAATGGTTTTTTTCTTCCCCTTAAACCATTAACAGCATATTTAACCTAGCAGCTAACAAAAGACAACACAAATTTCTGACAAATTCCCAACCTTCTTTCTTGCTCACGTGTCTCAGGTAGCATTGTGTGTCCCAGAGTTTATTTACAAAATGGTCTAACCCTATCTCTTGTCATGTCTCTGTCATGCTGTAAAGTGTTTGTTTCACATAGATTTAAAATAAGAGGAAATAGTAAATTGCATCAAATTTGAAGGGGGGAAAAAAAAAACAAAACAAAAAACCTAAACACACAAAGAAGAAAATCACCTTTTCTACCAGATAGCAGGTAAGTTCACACAGTTAACAAGGATCTGCAGGCACTAGAACGGGTTTAATCAGGGCTACAATTAAATGGCCTGGGAAGTTACTGAGAGTCTTCTGAGCAGCGCTGAACTCCAGTTTTGCAAAAACAAGCACTCACTATTCTAACAAAACTGATCTCCTAACTTCTAAAACTGGTGCTATTAAAGCAAATCATGAGGATTTACTATTGGTTCTTGCTCAGAATCATTGTTACTATTAACCATCACAAGATTCTTTTTTTTTTTTTTTGGGGGGGGGGTAGAAGTGCCACATGCAGGTAGCATTGAGAGTCATGTTATTTTTCTTTCTGGAATTGTCACCAAAAATAGAAGATCTGGAGGCCAAATTGAGTTACTACAATTGCTAAAGTTTTTGTACAGCATATTAGCATACATGTAACTTAAGAAACAGTTCATTACTTAGCTGAAAGCAGAATCCTGCTGCCAATCACCACAGCACTGCTACCCGTGATGCCAAGTCTTAAACATACTTTCTGTACTAAATCATGTAGTCATGACCCTGGCTACATTTAAGGAATCTAACAGTCTGCTGAGATTGGCCAAAATGAACTACAGTATTTCTAGACTTAACTTCCTGTTAAACATCACAAGGTGCTTTAAATTGGCAACCGATTTCCCTATGACTTTATACTCCATTTCAGTTGAGGCAGATTTTTTTTCATGACAAAGCTACATGTAACATAAAATAAAATAAAAAACCCGAAGCAGAAAACACACACAGAGACAGAAATGTACAAGCAGAGAACCTAAGGTAGCTGCTTGATTCCATATTAGGAAACACAGCTACAAAACTCTGTATTAGAAAACTCTACATAGTCTAGCTACAGAGAGCCTACCTCTAAAAACAGAACGCTGTGCAGACTTATTTACAGGAGAAGCTGGAAAACCTGCCTGACGTTAAAAACACACACCTTTTGGCTGAATGGGAAAGCAAAGTATATTAGCCTACACTGAATTCCATGAATTCCAGGCCACTTTCAGGATCAGAGAACTATAGTTTAGAAAGATACAAACTAGCTATATATTTCAGCAGCAAGGAGTCAAGTATACACTAAATACTTGTTACCTGTTAGAAGGTGCTAGAAAAAGAAACATGCAGTCAAAGAATAACATTCAAAGGATTCAAGCTATGCATCCCAGCTTCTTAACAGTAATAAGGAAAAAAGAGAGAGAGCTTAAAGATACCCTTTCTAGATTCTATCAACAAATTGCATGGATTTATTTAGCATCTTAAACAAACAGTCTTCGGTAGTAAAATACCATGTTTAATATGCAGTAAGAAGAAATTTTACCTTGTTCTTCACTCCCTTCTTTACATAGGCTAGAACTCTGGCCAAAACTTAAACTGATATCATCTGAGGTCTTTGCAGTGTCAGTATCTCCTGTAAATTTTAAGAAAGTATTATTACTCAAAATATTAACTCATGAATCTATAGGCAGTGCACATGTCTCATCTGACAAGAAACTGTTGCCTTTATTTCTTCAACTGGAGTTGAACACCAACAGTTACAATTAACATAAATTTTCTGATATTTGAGCGCAGATGATTCCTTATCTCTATTTGTTTTATTTCGAATATAAGCCAACTTTTGTTCAATTACACAGATCTTTCATGAAAAACTGGAAAAGTACATTAAACAGAGCCCAGTGGAAGTAAAAGACTATTCTTGGAGATAAGAAATATCTGAATATTCCTTTTAGCATGGCTGCCAATAAAAACGTGGAACAGATTTTAATCTAAGTCCTTAAGAAGATAAAAGGTAAAGAAAAATCAGGAAGGTGACAAAAATTCACACATCACTATTTTTGTCTTACTAGTCATTTTATCAGATTAGTAAGTTTACGAGATGGCAGCTTTCCATATTACAAATAATTCATCTTCTCAGAGATGTTTGCAATGGCTGTTCTCAGAGACGTTTGCAATGGCTGTTCTCAGAGACGTTTGCAATGGCTGTTCTCAGAGACGTTTGCAATGGCTGTTCTCAGAGACGTTTGCAATGGCTGTTCTCAGAGACGTTTGCAATGGCTGTTCTCAGAGACGTTTGCAATGGCTGTTCTCAGAGACGTTTGCAATGGCTGTTCTCAGAGACGTTTGCTAGAATGGGGAGGGAAAAGGTCCATTCAAACAAGCCACTTGGCTCACACATACAAGCAAAAAAAGAAAGCACAGATTCTAGACTATCCTCTCCTAGTGTTTTAGGCATGTAATTCGCAACTCTGAGGAAGACTTCTTCCAGTTAGTCAAGGCTGCACTTGCCTCACAAAAGTTCTGAGGATAAACAAGATAGACAGTATTTGGAAACAGAGTACACATGATTTGAAATGCTACTACAAAGTAATCCTAAAAGTAACTAAAAAAACCCTCACCTTTGATGGTTGCTGCTGTTCCCAGACGAGATAACCCAGACCCAACCTAGAAACAGGAAATTACATTAAAAGGTAAGTTTTCAGAAATTATGTAACTGTTATTTCTTATTATTGCGATGCATGTATTTGCCTATACACATAGTAGAGATTTTCAAAAGCACAAAAGCTTTTGACAACAGCTGTTAAGTCTTTTCTGCCTCAATGTTTCCCCTGGGAACAAAGCTGACACCCAAATTATGCATCCAATCACATCACTGCATTATTTTGCTTATAGCCAATGAACGTAGAGACTTCGCTATGCGAGTTTTACACATGCAGTTTCTAATGTGAGATTTTTTCCTTGAAAATACTTAATATGGAAGCAAACTACATGTGCAGTGGTAGACTAATAACTACTATAGTAAGCTGAATGCTTACTGCAGTGCACATCGTTGCCTAAAATGCTTAAAGAAAATACGTTAACAAAACACTTCCCTGTTGAACATAGTAAATATTGAGCTAAATCCAGAAACCATTCCATTTGGAAAAGACTTATATTTTTAGCAAGGGCACTTTTCAGCTCTATCAGGGAGCTGATCCAATGACCAGGTATCAAAAAAAAATGCAACTGTTAACACACAAAGTGGCAGGAGCACGGACAGGGGACATGGCTGGATGATCCCTGCTGGCAACTGAATAAACTTAGATCAGTTTAAGCTGATCATTATGTTGTACCTCATTGCTCCCCCTCATTCTTGCAAATGCCATTTTTCTTTTGAAAGCAGTTCCCAAGTACATAGACAACAGTTCCCTCAAAGTAAACCGATTAGTGGAAGATTGTGCAGTATTCCTTGTTCTATTCTTTATTTTAGTTTAAAAAAATAAATCACATTTTGAATTTAGAGTTTCTGCTTTTTAGTCACATTCAAGAGCCAACCAGTACGCAAGTAGCTCCTCATATGAAAACAGTTTGCCTTTCTATGTACACACTGCAATCTGTAGCGGATACTTTGCAGAAGTGCTAAAGCAAACTTAGTCTTCTTTAATAATATTTCCAGTACTGCTTCTCTCAAAGAACTCTGAATACCACACAAAACGACATAAGCTTCAAATAATTAAAGTATTCAGAAATAGAATAGCAGAAGGGTGTTCAAAGGCACAATCTGAACCCTAGAGATACAAAATGCTAGCAACTTAACTGAATACTTCTTGGGATGCTGTATTTCAGAAGTTTAGTGCAACTGACTCAAAAAAAAAAAAAAGCACAATTTTACCAATTCTTCTCTGTAAGCACAGCAAACAGAGTAATCTGAACAAGCGTGTAAGTTTTATTCAGCCATTCTACAGCAGAACAACAGCTCTGCTATACATGTAATGCAGAAAACAAGCTGAAGACAAAAAAAGCATTTTCTTTACTACTCCATTATGAACATTTTTAATTAGTCATTTTGCCATATTTCAACTATTTCCCCCCACTTCTTGCCTTTGGATGCGGCAGCTGAAAACAAACGCATCAGTGCTGAGGCGGGGGGGGAAGCTGAACTCGGGTATTTACTGTTCAAACACCCTTTTGACAATGAAAACTCCATCACAGGAGGCTAGCAAGCACTAATTTTATCATCACGGACACTTTTTAAACACTATCCTTCCTCTAACACTACCTTTAGTTCTGTTATGTCACCATTAAAGCACACAGGAAAGAATACAGAGTTTCTTCACATTCTTTAACATTAGAACTGTTACTAATGAGGGGGGGAGGAAGGGGGGCAATAACACTACTCCAAATAGAGCAGAGACACACAACCCCAATCTCTCCTTCTACACGGACTATCACTTCATACTTCTTGTATGTGAATACGTTCCTATGAACACTACAAAATATCTGCTCTCTTCAGAAGAGAAAGTCTCTTAGAGCATATCTATGCTGTGTAACATCGTTATGAGGTACCTCAGTCAGCTCTGAGTCCAAAATACCAACATCATCATAACACTACGCTCCCTTATATACTGCTTGCCCAGAGATCTAATTAGAATGGACTCAATATTGTAATACTGCACTGAGAATTTCCAATTCATTCAAAAATAGCCTCCGTAACTTTAACATGATGTTGCATTGCCCACTGTCAGCATAACCTTACAGTCTGGCCAGCTAATCTACTTGCCCCTGTGAAGAGTTGGGAAAAGAAAGATGCCATGACTGGCTCAACATCACAGCCAAAATAAACGGGACAGCATGCACACATCTAAGAGTCCAGTGCATGTACAGAAATGGAACAGCTTCCCCAATGAAATTACAAAGCAACTAGAGCATAATGAAACTGCATTAAAGTCAAAGAAAGCCAAGTTCTTCAGCCCTTCCATCTGCTGTACTGCACCCTCTATTTATTGCCTTCTTCCCTCCCTGTTTGAGGATCAACATAGTGAGAATCTTACACATGTAATCTAAGAATAAACCATTTTAGTCTTTTCATTTCCAGCAATTTACCTGGCTGTGGACATTAGCAAATGAACATTTTTGATGGCAGTCTGATATGTCAGGAATAATGAGTTTTAGAAAGCCATGTAGTGTGGCAGTGGATACATTCCAAAAGTAGATTACATGGGAGCCTCCTCAAAACAAATGCAATCGAAATTTACCAATTAAGCACCTAAAAGACAGGGATCAAACAAAACTAAAGGCAGGGGAGGGAGGCAGAACTCAAGGATGAAGTTATGACTTCAGCTATCTAATGACTAACTAACACCAAAAGGAGGCGAGAATGCCACCGCAGTGGTTCTTGCCCGACCATGCCATAAGCCATTTTGATTTACTAAATCAGAAGAAAGCCAACCCAACAGTGAATACTTTCTACTAGGACAGTAAGTTGATCCAACAGTCACTAAAACAGACACAAGATGGGAAGAGCTAGAACCAGGCAACTCGGAAAATGCAATGCCACCAGAATAAAGCAGTGGAGAAACACAGAAGCATAAGTTGTTGGACACAATACAATCAAAAGTTAATATAAAACAAGAAGGAAGTTTTGTTTATTTTAATTCCAGCAAAGGTTATCCCTGCAGGTTGCAAAGCCAGCAGTGCTAAAACAACAACAGCTTTAATTCTTACCTGGTTGTTTGGATCTATTCCAGCATAAGAATTGCGTGAACTACAGCCAACAGGGGGAGTTGCTTCTCTTATGAACTCTGACATCTCAATCCCTCCACCAGGATCACTGAGAGAAAGATAGAAAAAAAATAAAACAAAGCTATACTTTGAATATTAACCTACCAGTTAAATACAAGAGTTCATCTGTCTACACTGAGTCCAGATTTGAAACATTTTTCCCCTTTTCAAATATCAGGGGTTCAAACGTACCCCAGTACATCTCAAATGAATACTGCCCATTTGATGGCACAAGCTCCGTCAGGACTGCAACGCACAGAAGCCTTGGAACTCCACTGTCACTGGCCAACTCAAAGTGGGAAGAATTAGGAGCTACGTGGAGTTTTGAGATACTGCCACACAGATATTATACACACTTACACACACTGAGTAAGGCATATAACTTTCAGATCCTCTGTCCAACCGGACTATCCAGAAATAAGTGAATAGAAAAAGTGATAAATAAAACTCCTTTGAAAGGGGAAAAAGGACTCAAATTGATGAATGTCCTTGTCCTTATCCAGACTGGATCTAGGAGTAATACTTCAAAGATGGGTTAACAAAGTAGCCACGCACTGCCAGGGGAAACTGACAGAATCACAGAAACACATAGGGATGTGGTAGCTCTCCCAGGCACGCAAACCACTTCTTTCTACCAGGAAATAAGTTACCTGAGGGGAATTTATAGCCCCTATCAATAAATATTTTAAGGTGCAATACATACATACATACAATCCCCTACCAATTTCATACTTTCAGAATTAATATGTGGTTTTTAAAAACATTTTCAAGTCACATCAAATTATAACTCAATATAGTTCAGCTCAAAGGTTTCTATTTAATAGAAAATTACAAAAGCAAGCTGGGCCTGCCCCATTAGGACAGGTGTGGAATGAGTAGGATGCGTGATGATTTGGGGGCTACAGCTCTTAAATCAAATCTAGGCTTGTTCATTAAAAATCAAAAGAGGGAGGAACAGGGGCATCTTTTCTCCCTCTCCCAATACAATTATCTTCAACTAACTTGATCCAGGAGACTTCTGAATAGGGTTAGCTGCAAGGTAACGTGCACTCACACCCTCTGCTCCCCCCCTCCACCCTCCTTCGCAAAGATAAGACAAATAATTACCTTCCAACAGTCAGTGATCCACAGCTGTGAAAAGTCAGCTCCAGCATTTTGCTGGACAAAGAATGCCTGAACAACCTTTCTCCAACTGGAGCAAAGGGACCATACATGTAGCCCTGTGCTACCTCTAGAAAGTGGGACAGAAATAGACAGAGGCACAGCAGGACTCAGTACACAGCTAGCCTTATTGGTATCTATGCAAGAAGACCAACACCTAAACAATTTCGTAATAGATGGACAAGGAGCTGGAATATTATCAATAATAGCACAGCCATTCATCACTAGATTAAAGAACCTGAAACATCCTTCATTCTACACTGACATTTCAGCCTCCTTTAATAGCTCAGAGGGGCATAAGAGTACAACCCTGGGAACCCTTCTAGATTGTAGAAGGGAGGCCCCCTAAACATCTCTACAGCCTGAGCCCTCCTACAAAGACATGGCAAATTAGGTTTGAACTTAGGAATATATTACTTCAGTAAAATGAACTAGCTTAACAGACAACCACAACCAGCTTTGAGTTAACAGAACAGTCGCAGTCTGTCTTCAATAAATTAGAAAGAACAGTGAAAAGTTACCATTCAGTGCAGCTCAGCAGTGAGACAGAAGCATGCTCTTTTTGCTGGTTGTGTATAGAGTGCTCTGACGAGATACTGTCAATGCTAAGGCAGCGTCAGGGAAGGGTGGAGGGAGGGAGAGAGAGACTGACTTAATTTCATTAACTTCACCAGCTTTAGCCAATCAGGGAATATTCCCTATGTAAATATTTCAAACACACTTGAGGACAGAATATGAAATTAAGAGCAAACGCTAAGCAACCACTTTTCTAAGTTCAGCATACTTTATGATGAAGATTAAAGACATAACAAATAATGCCTTTCACAAAAGGAAGGAATTCTTTGTTCGAATAGTTTATTCAGAACCACTATGTATAATTAAACTATATCCTTTGAAGTAGGAAATAAGTGAATGAGAATAAGCTTTCATACAGAGAACTGGGTAGAACAGATAACCAGGGTGTGGGATGGAGGCAATTTGGTTAAAAGCAAATCAGCAGATAGCAGCATAAGGAACAGTACAACCCAACAACCATACTCCACTCACAGCTCCTATATTCTGTGACAACACACACCAACTAAGGGATTAAGAGAATCTAGTAACAACATTTAAAAAAAAAAAAAGAAGATCTGCAGGGAATGGGCAGGAAATATAGATTTCTAGAATTAAGTATTGTATGCTTAAAGGATTCCACGTGCCATTGAAGTCCACATCTTAAGAGTTATCTTCTGTTAGCGTTGCAGTCATTCCTTTCCACTATTAAGTTCTAGAATCAGTTTCTTACATTTTGCTGACTTTGTACCTTAGAGGAAAGTGCTGCATTTATCAGTTTGCAAGCAAACATCAATGAAGTAGAAGTGAAGTTACAACATGAACCGATAAGACTGAGCAAACCACATCCAGCTAATAGCAACAGAGCCTGCTGTGGAAGGGGCATCAAGGAACTGCACAAAAATTAAAATTAGTATTTCTAACCAGAAGTAGCTGCCCTAGCTAAAATTACTGTAGGCAACTCCATTACACTAGCGTGCTGGAATTCAACTAAAAGTCTTAAGAGACTGCAAGCCCAGATAAATTCAGAAGTTTAAAATCTGACTTAAGCTGAATGACTAAAAAAAAAATCTGATGCTAGGACTATAACTTTCAGAGAGAACTTGGAATGAACAATTTTGATTTCAGGACAAAATGAAGAAAAAGTTTTATTCTTTTGTTTTAATACACCTTCCTCTGTCCTTAATTTCCGACTAAAGCAGCAGGATAAGTAGTCAGGAGAGACTTCTTAGAGAACACAGAAGAACAAGAACATGTTCTGTTAACTCTAGATCAAGATCGTTTCAGGTTAATCAGAGACTTTTTTTTACAGCTAGAACTAGCAATTACAACTCCAAAAGGACAAAACTTCAAGCTTAGCAATAGGACTGTCATTTTCTCTGATTAGCAAAGAGAAGGGATAGCGAAGGTGGGGCAAGAGTTGTAGGGATTACACTTTATCTCTTCTGATCATACTTTAAGTAAATTCAAAGATTCAATAAATAAACTGCATCTTCCAGGTATAAGTTTTATTCTGTAACAAAGTGCCCATGAAGTTCATGTACTACTATGAACATAGGGTCCCTATGCGGATACAGAGCAGGAACACCAACATCAGCTCAATGCTTCATACTACATCATGGGTGCGGGCTAGATGAGTGGACAGTGAGGTGGATTGAGAACTGGCTGGATGGCCGAGCTCAGAGGGTTGTGGTGAAAGGCGCAGAGTCAAGTTGGAGGCCTGTGGCTAGCAGTGTCCCCCAGGGGTCAGTCCTGGGTCCAGTCTTGTTCAATATATTCATCAATGACCTGGAGGAAGGGACAGAGTGCCCCCTCAGCAAGTTTGCTGATGATACTAAACTGGGAGGAGTGGCTGACACACCAGAAGATGCACTGTGCTGCCATTCAGAGGGACCTGGAGAGGCTGGAGAGCTGGGCACAGAGGAACCTCCTGAAGTTCAACAAAGGCGTGTGCAGGGTCCTGCACCTGGGGAGGAATAACCCCAGGCACCAGGACAGGCTGGGGGTTGACCTGCTGGAAAGCAGCTCTGCCGAGACGG